TGAGTGAGGTCTATTGATAAGGAGTGTAGCTGACTTTCTGTTATCCCCACCAACTTCTCCCATTTTTGTTTCTGACTTACAGTTTGTCTTCACCTCTGTTCAGGTGCCTTTTATCATTTCAGTTTTGTGTTGCTGTCATGTGAACCAGAGGGCTTTGATTGTGCAATTTGCCCTCCTTTTCGCTCAGTGCAGATCTCTTCTGAGTTGTGTGTTTGGTATCAGCTAACCCAGAACATAGCAGCTCTGTCAATTCCAGCAGTTTTCATGTCCTGCTTGTCATTTAGAGGAAATGTGATGGTCTGTTTGAAGTTAATTTGCTAGTTCTGTTATTAAAACATGTTTCTATTGAAATTCCATTGTGCTATGTGAAGCAGTGGTTGACTTGGCCACCTTGGATCTACTTATTCTAATGGAACTGCTTGGGAACGTGAAGTCCTATTTGCAACAATTAATAAATAAAAAGATATTTAAATTCTAATGAAAGAAGTTATTACCATGAAAACGGCTTGTTCATGTACGGTCCAGTTAAAAATAATTGAGTCAAATTCTTCTTTTTCTTACACCAGACTAGTTTTGCTCTAAGTGAGTGGGCTGTGCTGGCATAATTGAGTGGAGGATCTAGCCCGTTAGTTCAGTACTTTCATTCAGAGGGTAAATACTCAGTCCCTTAAGTAGGGAATTAACAATAGGGAGTAGCATACCAAATTTCCCAGGCACTGGGTTAAAAATGTTTTACGCAGACCATCTTTGAAGTATTGCACAGGCAAAAGACTCGGCTTATTAGCATATGTTTCATGTATTCTTTCAAATGAAAAATAATGATTGGAGCCAAGATTTTTGTGTAATTATCTCTCAGTTTTTTGCACAGCAGTCTGCCAGTGTCTCTTTGTTCTACCCTGTTTTCATTTCAGCAATATATTTTCTTCTGGTTCTAAACCTTGTCTCCTGTAAGTTCCTGATCACACTGGGAGAAAAATCCCCAGGTCCTGAGGCTAGAAAATGAGTTACTAAAATGATTTCAACTTAGTCAAATATAGTCTGCTCTGAATAGGAAAGTATATTTAACCTACTTTTATCAAGATTACAGTGGCATCCTTTAAAATCTGTATATCCTTTTGAGAATATATGCTGTCTGTTACATGATTTAGGGGAAGTTTTGTCTCAAAACCCATTGAATTTTGCAAGCTTTTGTTAATTTCTACACTTTGCTTTCACCTTTCTGTCTTCCCTCTTAAAGTTGAGAGGGGAAAATAAAGATAGGGTTGAAGAGCAAAAAGCACAAGAGTGACATTTTTTTGTCTGCATGGGACATTGTAGTCCTGTGGTCAGTCTCCAGATTTGAGCCAGGCAAGATGAGTTTTGTTCCTGACCCAGCACCTGATGTGGCTGACCCTAGTTTCCTATCAGGACTTGTATTGGCCAGATTTCAGGTGACTGGGATGTAGTGACAGCTTTTGATATCTCTTCTGTAAAATGGAAATTGTAATGAGCCACCTCCAGGTGTACAAGGGAGAATTATTATGTCATTATCATATACTGCCACATTTGATAGGCCAGACACGTTCCTTGCAGGGATCCTCCTCTGAGCATTCCCAGCAGAGTTTTGGAAGTAGACTTCTTTTGTGAAGATGAATCTGACAATTGGAACAATTCAGCTATTCTGTTTCAAATCAATGTGACCTTTAAAACGCGTGGAGAAATTGTACTCTTAGTTGTTGAATTTGTTCTTTTCTATTTTTTCATTAGTCTCTCACTTGCAGGACAGATTAGAAGAGAGACGTTTAGCAATCTCATTTTCTTCTCTTGTAGAGCTCTTCACAATCTGTTAGACCAGGGTACCTATGTGCTAGGCAGTGAACTAATTCTATTACTGAATCTGTACAAGTCGGTTTTTAAGCTATGGACAGATTTCATGCTGTTGAGGTACTGTGTGTTTGGTTACTGCTATGACATGGAAACAAGCGTGACCATTTTTCTCTATTAAAATAGTGTAACTCTGGCTAACACATTGCATTTAGTATTGTGCAGGTATAACAGTGCACACAGTGAGCTACTGTTTCCCTCTAGTAACCACATGAGACGTTCTAGTGAGGTAGCTGGCAATAATCTGTTCATATCCACCCATACTCTTCCCCATAACACCTTGGAACAAATTAAACAAAAGGAAACAAAAGCAGTCAAGTTGGGTTTTTTTCCTAGTATCTGTGTAACAGAAGCTTTGTGTGTGTGCAGCTGCTCGGCATGTGCATAGAGAACTGTGGCCCAAGATTCCAGTCTTTAGTTGTGAAGAAAGATTTCTGTAAAGACAAGATGGTGAAACTACTGAATCCAAGATACAATCTGCCCATTGACATGCAGGAGAAAATCTTGACCTTTATCATGGTAAGTCTAGAGTAAACAGCAAGTGTTTGTCTCTGCTGTGTGGTAAACATTTAATGATGCAGCCCATTTCTGTACTGTAACATACTCATGGGAACCTCTTCCTAAAGCAGACTTTATTCTTGCTGCTCCTGCTTCATGCAGGAGTAGCACAGACTGGAAGACAAAGGGAAAGAACTGGAAAACTGTCAACCTGCACCTTTTATACTCCCCTCCCAGTCTGTTTGTGCTCCCTCTGTGGTTGGACTTTGCAAGCAGGACAAGAGGTAACTGTGGAGCTTTCGCGGTTCCTGCTGCTTTGACTGGAGTTAGCTGGAGTGGATGGAGGGAATGACCTGCCTTTTGGACCACATGTTTTAGAAGCACTTGTCTGACCCACTGACTGTCCATTTCTGTGACTGTTACTCTTCATGTTATTTCAAAACTAGACGTGGGCTCGAGGTTTCCAAGGAATGGTGGATGTGAGTGAAGTAAAAGAAGTTTATCTAGAATTGCTGAAGAAAGGAGTGGAGTTTCCATCCTCTGACGCCAGCCGAGAGGGACCTAAGGTGGGGATACACAAGGATACTTCATGAAGCATTGTAAATTGGAAACAGGATGTGTTAATTGTATGAGCTCTGTAGACAAAGAAGGTGTGTTTGTTTTGGGGTTGTTTTTATTTAAATGCTCCAGGGCAGAATATGACCAACCTACTTAAGCACATGAGCAGGAATCAGTTTCAATTATAACAGCTGAGATAACAACAAAGAAACCTATGTAATAGTTTATTTCTTTTATTTTAAACCACAGATTAGTGTATAGGTTTTCAAAAAGGAAGCATCTCTCTCTTGAGACTTTAGAAGTGTGTAAAGGCTTTGGGCACACTGTTTATCTCAAAATGAATGAGAGCTGAGTGCTCCAAACTTGTCAACTTCTGAAAGCCTCAATGAGTAAGATTTTCACAAAAACATGTACTATTCAGAATTGTGAGTATTATCTATCTTTAAACCAAGAGGCATAGAAATCTATAAGAATATATTATTGTATAAATATCTCTCCAGCCGTTTGCACAGCCTGTACACAATAAATATTATTTAAGCATATGTCATAGATATCATTGTTAAGCATATGTCATAGATATCATTGTGTAGCACCTAGGACATTAGCTATAGCTTGAGTATTGGACATGAGCTGAAAATACAATACATGTTTTAAAGCCATTCTTTCAAAATTTTTGTTTTCTATTAGAAAAGTTTTCACAAGAGTTTTGGAAAGTGTGAAAGCCATCCACAACTGAGAGGAACCTTGCAATTACAAAATTAGCTGTCTATAATCAGTGCAGACAGGAATGACTTAGATTTATCCTGAGTTTGATTTGACAGTTGAATAGTGGAGTGTACAAAAGCTTATGTATTTAAAGATTGTTTGAAGAATCTGTGTGGCGAATGCTCTTGATAGATAATAATTGTATTTCTCACCAAGTATAGTAGAGATGATTCTGTCTGTCACATACATCTGCCAGTTAAAATCAGTGGCAAACCTGCTGTTGATCTCAAAAACAGCAGACCTGAACACGATTTTTAGCTCAGTCTCCAGGAAGTTAAGGATCTGGAAGTGTGTAATATTGTGCAGGTTGGGTTTTGGATTTGTGTTTTTTTTATAGCAGTCAATTCAAATACCATGCAAGTGAAGCTTTCTTCAGACAAAGTGTTACAGCTTTTGGATCCAGAAGGCCTTTGTAATTAATCTTCTGCAGAGACCCAGACTTAACCCCCTGACCTTTTCACTGCTTCCAAGTGTGTTCACATTCTAAACTATCCTTTGTTCTAAAACTGCAGTGGCAATTTGGGAAGGGCTTTTGGCTGTTAGGTGGCTTAAGAGCTCAAGGAGCTAGCCTGTTCTTAGCCATTCCCACTTTATCCTGTGATGGAATTTACTTGCAAACCCATTTAAAAGGTATCTGAGTTCCAAGCTTCATTTCATTACAAAATAGCTACTAGATTTATTCCTGTAAATAGGCCTTACTCAACAAATTCCCTGGGAGCATCAGTTATGAGAAAGCTAATACCCAGTTGTCTCATCTGACAAAGATGTTTTGTAGCTCTCTCATCTGGATGTCTGCTTCAATTCTTTTGTTAAACCCAAGCTCTGCTCTTTTGTCTTTCTGCAGACTTCATCTCAGCATTCTACAAAGTCATCACCATCTTCTGCTAATCCTGCAAAACGTTCTTTACTGCCTCTTCCCACAGGCCCAACGTTACTGTTGTCTCCTGAGCAGGTGCAGTACTACAGGTTTAGAGGGGGACAAGTCCATTTGAAATGTTCTGGTAATGCGTGATTTTGACAGCCTGGGTGGATAGACCACCGAAAGGGTGCATTAGTTCATGTGGCATAGTTGTGTATTCATGGGTTTAGGTTTGTTCTCCTGAAGGTGCTTTATATGGTGGTGTGCCAAAGCAAAGCAGGCAGAAGTGAGTTCAGTAAGTGCCAGGCTGTACCCCAGCCAGAAAGTGGAATCATTTGCTCAAGCATGAGAATATCTAATGATGTCTTACAATGTTGTTATGCATAGTGATAAAAGTTACTTCGAAGGTCAGAAAGCCAAACTCACTGTTGCATAAGGCTTGTGTGAAAAGATTATTCTGAAAAGCCGAAAGGAAAGGTCACTTCACTTCCATTCCTGCTTGGCCTGTGTAACAGTACCATTAGTGAGAGGGGGTTAACTGTAAGGAAAACGAGTAGTGCTATCAGACTTGGGTCTTAGTTTGCAAACACAAAAGCTGAGCTAATTCCATTCAATTTCATGGCATATCACCTGAGTAAAATAATGCTAATTAGGCCCATATTATACCTAATGGAGAATAAAGTATGTATTAGAGGTGAGAATTACTCTGGTCGCTCTTTTCACCTACACATTAATCTGTCCTGTTGAATTTAACAGATTGGAAAACTGTACAGCGAATTGGATATGGCAAAAGTGAATGTGAGAGTCATGTCATCAATATTAAAAGAAAATGTTCCTGGCTCTGAAAATCCAGATGATATGAATCTTTTACAGGTATGTGATAATTCACTAGTAGGGGCTATTGGTTTGGTTTGGTCAAAGTTGATTTTAAAATACGTTGCATCCTTTCTTGTAACGTCTAGATTCAGATTGCCAAATAGAGTACAACAAGTTTCTATCCTTGGTTTTGCTCAGCTTTCTCTTGCTGCCTTCACCATGTCCTGACATCTAGGTAGTCAAGAAAGGATGATACAGCTTGCAATGCACATTTAAGCTCTAGGGAATTCCAAGGGCAAAGGAATTTCATAATGGAGCATTCTCGGTTAAGCGTGTTCTGTCAAACAGCCCCGAGAACATTCCAGTTGCACACAGTTGCCTTGTGGGAAAATAGATGATGACACAGTCTCTCATATCCGTCCTGGAGTTTTCAGTGCTCTCTTTATTGTTACCAGTACCTTAGAGGCAGACTGAAGGCCAGTGAAGAATGTGAAGCCTTGGTTTTATGTGTGTGACTTCAAAGATTGTGAGCTTGCTGTGCTACAGATAAATACACATGCTCTTACAGTGTAGCCTGAAGGAAGTGTATTGCAATAGTCCAGTTTAGATTTGACAGCGAACCTGCAGACATTCTTCCTTCTGTGATGTCATATTTTTCTGCTTGCTTGTGCTGTCTATTTTAGAAATCAAAAATGCAGTATTGCTTTAGCATTTCAGTAGCTACCGATGTCAATGGACATTTTTCTGTTTCACATTGTCTGCAAGAATTTAAATATCTTTTATCACATCCTTCTGTTTCTAAACTTACCTCCAAACTTCTATGATAAGGAAGCACTTTTGATAATCTGTCAGCATTAAATGTGTTGTAGAACTGATCTAATTTTTGCAAGCCTTGGTTTGCTTCTCTTGTCTAGTGGAGAATTTTTCCTTTGCAAGGAACCCTTCTCGGGTGTTGTTGGTTTGCGTTCAAGTTTGTTCCATTCAGCTGTGACCATTTATGGGTTGGTTCACAACTGAAGGTGAGATATGGAGAGATAGCTGCAGCTTGCCACTGTCTCTCATCTTAAGTGACAGGCAATGCTGCTGGTCTGGGGGAACCAGATGGGAGACAGATGCAATCTCTCAGTGGTTTTTCATCCCCTGGAAATTCCTAGCATCTCCAACACTGTCTCTTCTGCAGAGGTCTGTGGATCTTTAAGTCCAGTGAGGAAGGGCCTGTGAAGCAAGGATCTGAGCACAGTAGACTTTAAACGCTGGCAAGGCAAACAGCTGTTGCAGTAGATGGCACAGAGCTTTCTTTGCCTGTACCAAAAGATTGAGTGTAGATTGTTCCAGCGACAGACACCACCTAAGCAGCTGTTCCACGCACAATGCTTTTGTAGTGCTATTGCCACAAGGGAGGTTGCCAAGATGCAAACTGGCTTCAATTTAACCAGCCAGTGAAAGATACCTCAGGTAGGAGAATAGGCTGGTTTAGTATACTTGGCCACCTCTTTCCGGTTCACAACAAGGTGAGTGTTTCTGGTTGTGAAACAGGAAAAGTACATCTTTCATTTCCTGTGTCCTACTATGGCCTTTCTGCATGTGAGTGCACAGATTAGGATGCCCATAGTAAACCAGTGGATTCTTATTGACCCTCCCAGTAATAAAATCATTGGCAAAAGGTCAAGGACAGGGTGTGGAGTTCCCATTTGTGGGGGAGTGCCTAAAAAGTCATTCCTTCTATGTTAATTTCACTGTTCTTTCTATTCCCCTCTGCACTGAGTGGTATAAAGCATCAAGCATGGCTAGCCTGTTCCTTTAACAGTGTTTAATGTTCCCTCTTGTTTGTGGCTCTACCTGGATTGCTTGGATTAGGCTTTTGTTGTCAGAGAACAAAGATCTTTACTAAAACAGCTGCTGGTTTGGACTTTTAAGTGAGTTGCAGACATTAATTTCTGTCCTGAGTATCTGGAGTCTCTCAGTAAACAACCCATAACAGGGTAAATTCAGTGCAATGTATTTTCAGTTCAGTATCTTCATTAGTGGCTAGACTCCACCCTTTCTCCACCCTGTTTTGGACAAGGCTTAAGATAGCCGATCTCACTGGAAATATTGTGCTGACCAGTAACAATAATTAAAGAACAGCTAAAGCTCAGTATCAGCCACAAAGAGCAACAAACTTTTGTAGTGGGTAGCAAACAGACAAATATGATGGACATGCAGGAATTTTAGTCCAAATCATGAGCTGTTGAGAATTAGCACAAATTAATTAGGGTCACTGATATTTGTTATACCAGCAAGTGATCTATCATTGTAAAACCCCAGTTGTCAAAACATACGAGTGCATGCATCATTGTGGGTAGGAGCAAACCCTAGCAAATCTGTGCTTGAAGTTAGCGTCTCGATTTCCTTCTCTATTGAGTATTGATATTTACAAAGGAGCTAGTCAGCCAGTGTAATAGTCATAGAAATTTTTTTTAAATGCTGATCAGGTAGTAAAGTGTGGAGAGGTTTTAAATTTAATTAGTCATCAAACTGAATACATTTTTGTATGTTGTGTCCTGGGCTATGAAGATACAGTACTGGGAGGTACAGTACTCTGTAATCTTTATGCAGATTTGGAAAAGGGATGCAAAATTTATTTTTGTGTAAATAAAATTTTTTTACATTATGTATGTTTTCTGAGGAAAAATCTGATCACTTTTAAAATAATACTGGGGCAATTTCTGAATAGCAGTGTGCAAATAGAGGAATTTTCTTTCTCCTTTTTTTATTCTCCTTAAGTGGAGCCAGCCAGTGTTTGCAAATGCACTATGGAGGGAAAAAAAATGTTGGCTGAGTTGAAGTTCCTGTTGCTGGAGAATTTGTTTCTTTGAACATGCAAAATCTGTGGTGGAGGGGAATATAAAGACACTGTCTTCCATTTCAACTGGCAGTAATGCAAAACTCTGCTCAATAAACTCTCATAATTCTCCTGTCAGCTGATCTGCTAGGTTTGTGTTACTTTCTCAAAAAGTACATAGATTAAATGCATCCAAACTTCCCCACTTAAAGGAATAGTTAGAGCTAGAGGCCTCCATCACAAAGCACTTATGTCCTTTAGACTACTGTTGTCTTTTTTTCAAGCAGATGTTGAACAGGATCACATCCATTACATCCATGTGAAGTATCCTGCTGAGCTTAATCAGCTTCAAACAGGATCAAATCTAATTTGTTCTGTATCACCTAGAAGGGTCTTTGTTATTTTGCATTTTGTAATTTAGACTTTAGAGACAGTTATGTCTTTAGGAAAAAAGGTGGGTTGAGAGTTAGGGATTGGGTCAGGGTAGAAGTGCTGGCTGTGATGATAGGAGTTGTCAGCTTGCCTTGCAGAGATCAAAGACGTGAAAATTATGCTATTTGCAATGTTTGGTATGTGTGCAGTTTGTATAAATTAAGGAATGTTACCCGTGAGTCTGCAGTGCTCAAGTGTTTTAGCATTCTTCTCCAGAACTTACAAATTGGAAGACCACAGTTACAATTTTGGGGTTTTTCTTATTTCCCCTGCATTGGGCAGAAACTGTATAAGACCTGTCGGATGATGCAGGAGAGGATCATGGAACTGTTGGTGACAGTGGAGAATGAAGATGTGATAGTTGAGTTAATACAAGTAAATGAAGATCTGAATAATGTCCTCCTGGGACATGAAAGGTAAGTACAGGACCTCTCTCCTCACGTTTGGTATCCTAACTGAATAAGCATACTTAATGGACACAGGTGGTCCCTACATCTAATGTTGAACCTCCACAAGGAGGCTGATTTCATCCTTAAATCCAGAAAAGAAACATGATTGCAAAAGAGAAAACTATGTTCCCTACACACTTCAGAAATGGTTCATAAAGGTAGTTAGAAAGCAGTTGGAATGGGATAAAACAAGTTAACAGCATAGGTGGGGAAATCAGATGGAGGCACGTAAACAAAAAAAAAACACTTTGGAATTTGACATTCCTTTTGGGTAGTGCATGGTGAATTTGTCATCAGTGTGCTACCCACCCTTTGGTACTGGTAGGAGGATATGCATCCAGGAAATAATACTTATTCTCCTTTCTAAACAAGTTTGACAGCTTTCCTGCAGAAATTTGCTATGGAATAGCATTCTGCCTCGTTGTATGCTTAAAAGAATCACTTGGTTTTCTCAACTGGATTGAAACACGCTGTTCTACTTGTCTCACAGCAGAAAATGTTTTTTTCTTTCACACATGAAAGCACTGCAGTGCTTTCATTGACATCCTGGGTGTTTGTCTGTTATGTCATTGGTAGCATGACTAGATGCTAGCAAACTGAAATTAATTTTAATCTCAACATTCCAGTATTATCTCACAAAAGATCACAGTGAGTATACTTATGGAGAGAATGGTTTAATAGGAACTAGCCTTCCCTATTAAGTAGTTTATCTCCTCCATGGCTAAGAAATGTTCTAGAAATCATGATGCATCAAGTACAAAGGGGTTTATTAGCAGATTTTAGAGGGTTTAGTAATCTTTTTCTTTTAAAACATCTTCTGAACACTGCACTGAAAATATCACTAATTCTTCTCAGTGTCATGGCACAAACTTTGGGCCTAATCTTGACAACATATAGTTTTCATTTATCCTTAAATCTTATGTCTACAGCAGTGTTGGCATATTTTACATTAACTGTCTTGGAAGAATTGTATGCTCACTTCTTGTGTTACGGAGTTTTTCATTTTAGTAAAGCAAAAATAGAAGTCTCTTCAGCTTCTGTAAAACCACAGAAGTGAAGTGTGGGCTTACATTTTTATGACAATTGATGAATACTGGCAAGGCCAAGAACCTCTTAAACTCTGAATAGTAGCTTGTGGGTATAATTCAGCAAATTCCTCATGAAAGACTCACCTGGTGATGGAAGAAGCAACTAATTAGCCATTGTGAAACTGGACAGAAAACTACTGCATTTATATATTATATAATTCTATGGTTTGTATGTAATGAGTCTTCCTGGGTGCAGATGCACTGCACAGAATCACACAATATTAGGGATTGGAAGGGACCTCGAAAGATCATCCAGTCCAATCCCCCTGCCGGAGCAGGAACCTAAACGAAATTACACAGGAAGGCGTCCAGGCAGGTTTTGAATGTCTCCAGAGAAGGAGACTCCACAACCTCCCTGGGCAGCCGAAGAGTTGGCTGCACCTTAGAGTTGGTAAGTACTAAAATGTATTTGGTTAATGTTTGTTGCAGAAGATTTTGTTCTTTGGGACTCCCTCTGAACAATGAGATCTGTAAAGGACAAACTGATTTTAAACAGCTGCATCTGTTTCATACTATGTGTATTGTTTAAAGACAAGTCATGCTGCATTCTCTGTTTCTGATTATTAATGTGGAGTCCAAATTAAATCAGGAGAAATCACCGTTGTGCAATAAACTGGCCTCGTGTATGTAACGATGACTCCCTCTAGTGGCTTTACCAACTTTTTGCTTCTTGTATTTTAGATAAATATTTATGTTCTGCAGTTGCAAAGTTTTCTTTTTCTTCTGTTCCTGCCTGCATATATACTGTCTTTGTGGGCCTCACCGGTGTCGTAACCCTGAATAGCAAATGCAGTTGTGCAGGCAGGTTCATGTCCATACCACTTAGGGCTCTTACTTCTGAAACAGATTGACCTTATAGATGCTGAACATCACTGACTAGGTCTCCTCTGGACCCAGTGTGGCACTCTTGTGATGCTCAGCACATAGATATTTATACAGGTGGATTTTCTGGTTTCCTTTTTAAAAAAAAATTATTCAAAATGCCTGAACTAATGAGAGAGCTGTGTCCCAAAATAGGCGTGTGGTTTGTCCTGAGATGGCATGAGGGAATGTGGGGACGTCTGAGGACAGGAGGCTTCCTGGGACTCAGTTGGAAGAGTGCTCTGGTCAGAAGGAGCCAGATTTGGCGCAGTGTGTGTTCATAGTTACCTGTCTGGCATGAACAGAGGCAAACTTCATTGTCAGCTGTGCCTTGGTTTTGTTTTGGAAGAAACAAATGGCTGTCTTCAAAAGTGAGCCCAATAACAAACTAACTGGTATTAGTATAGGTGATCAGAGGACCACAGCCTTGGAGTAGAGGGAGTCAAATTGCCAGTGCAGAGACAAGTGTCCCAGAGAAAAGCACCTGTAGTGCTTGTTTGGCACCTCTGGAGTCTTTTGATAATCAGACTTTGATTATAATAGGTTCCATGTTCTCATGAATGACATCAAAGAAATGTTGCAGTGAACATTTAACTCTTCAACTTCAACAGGTTCTCTCGAAACAGAGTTCGGTTTTTGGAGAATCAGAGAATACAACGCGAACGCACAGAGGTGAGTAATTATAGATGAACTCATGAATTGCAAGATTGTAAACATTCCTTTTCATTATGAAAAATACACTTTTGATATATGCAGAATTTTACTCTCTAGTTGAGATACAGCAGACAGCAGGCTGATGCTACTCATCAGTTTTCTGAAGTCTCACTTGCAGAATTTCAAGCAAATTCATGGACTTGAAGTAGGAAATAATGTCAAAACTAAGATGGAAGCTTGGTGAGGAAAAATGAGAGAAAGATCTATTCAAACGCTGGTTTATTACCTCTACAGCTGGGAACTCTTATCTGCCATATACAAAATGAGGAACCATAATGTTTCTTTCCGTTTGTTCTCTGTTAAGCATTTATAGACTGAAATACTATTACACTATCAGAATTCACTATTACTGATGTTTTTTTCTATGTTAAAGCTTTTTCTGAATTGTGAATAATGTCTTGTAGCAAATCTCTAATGACTGTCCTTTATTGATTGATAATTATGGTTGTTAATTATATTGCCCAAAGCAGTTTTGCTTGTTTCAGCTTCTGCTAAGCCATAATTGTGTACTCATCTAGGACTCAATATTGAAAATGACTGGATTGTGAATGCTGAAATACAGCTGACAATTATTAACAAAAGGTAGAAGACAATCTTGTTTTCCTTGAAAAGCTGCTATTACTACATTCTGGTTATGTAGGTGGATGTTTTTGCTTGATGGACGCACTGTTGGTTTAGTTAATAGTCCAAATGGTGCAATCTGGGCATTTTTATATTATTAAGGAGTCTCACAAGTTTAAAATGCTTTTTTTTATTATTTTTTTTTTTTAATCTGGTATGACCAAACCCATATGATTCTACCATGTGGTTTTATTAAATCTTTTGTTGGCTACATTTTTAGTTCTAACACATTCACCGGAGAAACAAAGGGAACCCATTTCTGTATCTAGGAAACATTGTTGTGATTTTGAAGTTTTCCTATCCAAAAGAGGACTGAAAAAAATCAGTCTCCTAAGTATCAGATTACAATAACACAAATAAGTAGCATGAAAATAATTGTACAGAATCAATCAGAAGATCAATATCAAACCTGTATCTCAACAAGCTCACGATTGCTTTTTAGAATTGAGTCCATTCTAAATCCTACTTGGGAATTGTTTTCCTTAATTTTTTGAAATAACAACCTTGCTGAAACTGATCTTTTCTGGAAAGCATTGTTTGTTTCATTAGCTGTCTTTCACACACACAAAAAAATCCTGGTCTTCTCTCATACTTGTCAGTTTTTACTATTATGATTTTAAAAGTTTATATTGTGTGAAAATAGCAATTTGTTTAAAGCTATTAAAAGTTCATTTAAAAAAAAAAAAACAAACCCCAAAACCACCAAAAAACTTTATTCCTTTTCAAATGTTAAGCTGTACAGGAGACAGCCATCTGCTCCCTCAAGTGATCTACTTGACCTCTCCATAAATTCTCCATCTCCTGTGTCAACAGTGGTGCAAAGTGACTCTGCAGTGTCTCCTTCAGGCTTTAGTAAGTGATGAATATACATTTCCCTTCTAGTCTCGTTTTCTGAAGCAAACCAATAAGAGCTTAGTGGAGGAATCAAGAAGCTCCTTGTAAGAAAGAAAACAAAGATACTCCTTAACTTTAAGGATGTTCCTTAATTCTCCTTAAAAAGGAGAATTGATGTGTGTACACAGGGAAAAAAAAAAAAAGTAAGATAGTATAAGGTTCCCTGTAATTTGTTTACTGTGGAAGCAATAATCTGTTTCCCCCATCACGTAATTTTGAACAGAAGAACATGCTTTGTTTTCTATTACAATGAAGCCTGTAAAAAAGTCTGGTAGTTGTTTGTTATGTAGGCCTGGAAGAAACACAGATACACTTTTCTCATAGTCTCTTGATTTCCTAAGTTTTTTCAGGAGGCACTTGGTGTTAGAAACAGTTCACCTTGAGAAAGCTACTCATCTCCTCTGACTTTAGACTTCTTTCATAGTCAGAGGAGTGAGTGAAGCTCTTAACTTTGGTACCCTGAATTACTGTTTCCAGAAGCCCCCCTTTTATCCACTCTTAGGGAGTCCGTATACTGAAGTTAAAGGTGTGAATGTCCCCCCAGCAATAAATGCCTATGATTCCATTTTAATCTTTAAGAAATAGCGAAAGGAGTTTCAAGTGCTATCTACCATGTATAGCACTACTGATGTTCTGAAATTCTAAGCAGATAAATATATTGCATCTAAAACCTTCTCAGACTTATTACAATTTTGCCTTTCATTTGATAAACAGCAATTAATTTCAGACTCTCTATATGCCTTCCAAACAAAACTTTACCCTTTCAATGTTCATAGTACAAGTAACATTTGCTTAATGATGTTTAAGTGATCCTTAATTATCGCTTTGAATTTCAGATGGCATATCTGCACACCCTGAAGATAAAAATGGGCATTATTCATCAGTTTATCCACAGCTAGATTTAGCAACTACTACAAAAGCTCAGCAATTCCCGTGAGTAATATTTTATCAAGAAATGGTAACAGATAACAGGTCTTCAGAGGTATTAGTATTCTAATTCATCTAATGAGTTTATAGAAAGCTCTGAGAACACAGATATGCTACTTCTACCTATTAGTCCAGAAAAACAAATGAAAGCCACCTGTGTGCTAGACATTGCTTGACATAATTAAAAATACACTATTCCTGCAGCACTGTTTAGTCATAGACATCAATTTATCTCAACAGTCAAAACATACTTGAGATATATATATGACTTTCTGCTTGAGTGTTGCCAATGCTGCAATGAGAGGGAAAAAACGATGAATTGTACAGGTCAATAAGAAGAGTAGGAGAGGTGTCCTTGTAGTGACCATATGAATGGGACGCTGACCCACTTGCCCATGCTGCTCTCAGTTGTGACATAAGGTAAAGACAGACTAGCAAAAAAATAATGTAACAATCAGAATATACAGTTTTGATAGTTTCTCAGTTACTTTCAATGTATTACTCTCTCCTAGATTTGCAACTGAAGCACAAAACAATAGTGTAAGCAACCCAGCTGGATATTCATATAGCAATGTGAGTAACAGTCCATGTTCAGAATACATTTTTTGCTGGCAGCTGTCAAAATGAGAACTGTTTGGATTTACCTCAACTACTGTCCAAATGGGACAACTTTCCTCTTTTGATAACACAGATGCTAATGTGAAAGCGTATTTTCTTGGGTCCAGCACAATCTCTGGGAGTTTGCAGAAAGCAGTTGCTGTATTTGTGTTTAATCTGTTGCTATGTGAAGCAAGCTGTGGATGAGAAGCTCAACATGAGCTGGCAATGTGCGCTTGCAGTCCAGAGGCCAATAACCATGTCCTGGGCTGCATCAAAAGCAGTGTGGGCAGCAGGTCAAGGGAGGTGATTTTCCCCTCTACTCTGCTCTCATAAGGCTCCACCTGGAGTACTGTGTCCAGTTCTGGAGCCCCCAACACAAGAAAGACCTGGAGCAGTTAGAACGAGTCCAGAGGAGGCCACAAGGATGATCTGAGGGCTGGATCACCTCTCCTATGAGGACAGGCTGAAAGAGTTGGGGCTGTTCAGCCTGGAGAAGAGAAGGCTCCGGGGAGATCTTCTAGCAGCCTCCCAGTACCTGAAGGGGCTACAAGAAAGCTGGGGAGGGACTTTTCATAAGGGCAGTTAATGAAAGAACAAGGGAAGATGGCTTTAAACTGGAAGAAGGTGGGTTTAGATTAGAGATTAGGAAGAAATTATTTCCTCTGAGGGTGATGAGACACTGGAACAGGTTGCCCAGAGAAGCTGTGGCTG